ACTTAAGGAGACTATTGAATTTGTGGTTGTGTAGTATAATCACACTTGTTGAAGACATGCTCAATGGATTCCTCTTCCATATTGCAGAAGAACCAAACACGGCTTAAGGTTACACCTCTCTGATGAAGGTGCTTGCTAGTGGGGAGTCTGCCATGTGTCATAAGCCAAAGGAAGTATTTGATCTTAACCTACCTAGCCCATATCCATCTGAAGCCCCTTTCCTGTCATTTTCCTGATGGTATCTATCCCCCAAGATAATCAAATAGGCAAACTTCGTTATGAACAGCCCATCGTTAGTTTGGTTCTATAGCATGCTATCAAATTTTTCATTGTTGGCATCGGAGATGGTGGAGTTGATACTATTGATAACATTGTCAGAAAGGTTGGTAGTGTTCGAAATGCCATTTTGGATGCAAGAGGAAACCCTCATGGTTTCTTCCTCCCTGCTGAGGGGTCCATTAACAAAGGTTCTAAGTGGCTCCATGTTGTAGATCCATCTATCATTGTAAAGGTTGATTATTTCCCCCTTATTGACAATCCACCTATTACCTTTACTGCACACATTCCATCTATTCATAATGCTAAGTCAGGTTCCTAGTAGGCTGTCTGCTCGTGAAATGTTTGTGGAACTGAACTCTAGCCCACTGGGCATTTGGGTTATCATACATTCTCCAAGCAAGCCCAGCATGAATGGCATTATTTCTTAGGTCAGTTCTATGTACCCCAAGTCCCTCATCCTCTCTAGGTTTGGTGATGGTATCCCAACCAATTAGGTGCATTTTATTTTTTGCAGCTGTGATTCCCCAAATGAAATTTCTTTGGATCTTATCAATTTGGCTGCTCACTTGAGTAGGTAGCTTAATATATTGCATAACATGGCTTGGGATTCACCTTAGAGATGATTTGGCAAGAGTGGTTCTCACAACCATGTTCATGAAGTGAATTTTCCAACCTGCCAATTTGGTCTACATATTGTCTATGATGAATTAGAAGTCCCTATTGGTAGGTCTTTTGTGGAATATAGGAAATCCCACATATTTGCCAAAGGATTTACTGGACTTAATATCTATTGCCCCGGCCAACCTAGCTATAGTATCCTATTGGCAGTTTGAAGAAAAGACAACTTTGGACTTGAGAGTGTTAACCCTTTGACCTGATTTACAACTGAACTGATGCAGGGTATCCATGATGGTTTCACAGTTCTTTGTATTTGCTATTGCAAATAGGGTTAGGTCATCAGCAAAGAAAAAGTGAGAAATTTTGGGCCCAGAGTGACTGATTTTAATTGGAAACCAACTTCCATTACTGACTTGAGCCTCAATGTTTCTAAATAGTCTCTCCATGCACATGATGAAGATATAGGAAGACATAGGATCTCCCTGTCTAATGCCCCTGCTAGGGTGGAAAAACTCAGTCCTGCTCCCATTTACCGGAATAGAGATAGAGATGTTAGAAATACATGACATAATTAGCTTAGTCATATTATTAAGGAAACCAAAGGACACAAGGGTATCTCTAATAAAGGACCATTCCAACCTATCAAAAGCCTTTTCTAAGTCAATCTCAAGGATCATGCTAGCATTTTTTCCTTTTATTTTACTGAAGTGATTGATGTATTCCTGAACTATTAAGGCATTGTCACTAGCTCTCCTATTGGACAGGAAACTGGCTTGACTAGGTCTAATGATAGATGGGAGGATTGGCTTGATTCTATTGAAAATGATTTTAGTAATTAGCTTGTACATTGGGTTGCACAAACCAATTGGTCTAAAGTTCTTAAGAATTGTGGCATTTGTACATTTGGGGATCAAACAAAGATAGGTACTGTTCACCTTAGGATTCATTTCAAAACTCTGGAAGGTTTTATTACAGAATTGAGTGACTTTGTTTTCCAAAATATTCCAGAATCTTTAGTAGAAAAGAGGGTGGAGGCCATCAGACCTAGGAGACTTTTGTTGGACTGAAAGAGAACATGGCATTCTTGATCTCACTAGTTCTTAGTGGTGCATTCAAGCTAGCCTGGTCCCTACTGGAGAGAATTTGGGTGATGTATGTTATGATTTTCCATGGAGTTGGAGAGGAGTGGCGGTCCGTGGTATAGAGAGTATTGTAGAATTGGTAGATGGTATCCTTAATCTCCTGCTAACTCTCTGTCCAATTCACAACATCATCTTGAAGTGCACTAATCGTGTTTCTTCTTCTCCTATTAAGAGTTGAGGTGTGGAAGAACCTAGTATCGGCATCCCCTTCCATGAGCCAGTTGATCCTAGAGTTAGTCCTCCAGAAAAAATCCTCACTATTCAGGATAGAGGAGTATTCCTCAATGCTTTCTAACTTCTGAAGGAAGTTGCTAAAAGGGTATGCTCTGATTTTTGGATACCATCCAGCCTGGCCAGGATGTGCTTCTTCTTTTGAAAAATATTACCAAAGACAGTTTTGTTCCAGGTGGAAACTTGGGCTTGGAAATTGGATTCCCCCTCTCTAAAGTACAACTCCTAGCATAAGCCTGTTGAACCATATTGAGGAAGGTTGGGTGGCCACACCATATGGGCTCAAACTTGAAGGGCCTTAGGAAGTTATTACTAGGATTAGGCCACAGAGTAACTAACATAGGGCAGTGGTCAAAATGGTTCTAGGTAGGTGGGAAACTAAACTAGAAAGGTATTCCTGAATTCAGGAGTCATTTACCAAACACCTATCAAGTCTTTCTAGGATTAGTTGGCTTTTATTCCTATACCTCATATTAGTCCAAGTGTATTTGCTTCCTTTAAAGCCCAAGTCAATTAGCTTACAGTAGTTAATACACTGCTAGAACAGGTTAGCTCTTGGGGCAGAGATACAATTTCTCCCCTGCTTATCTTTGGACCTGAGGACTTCATTGAAGTCTCCTCCTACCAGCCAACTTCCACTATAATGATCAGAGATTGCTTTGAGCTGGTCCCATAGATTCCTTCTGTTAGCATAACTATTACTAGCATAGATAGTAGTGAACAACCAAGGGATGGAGGAAGGGCTTACCTTAACCATGACATTGATTCCCTGAGAGGTGGTGGAGACCTCATCAATCTTTAGGATGTCATCATTCCACGTGATGACAATGCCTCCTGAAAGACACACAACTGGGGCTTGAATTTGGCCAGAGAAACATAACTCTTGCATCAAGTGCTTGTGTTCTATCATCCTAGTTTCTAGGAGAACAAGCATTGCAGGTTTATGTAGCCTGACCATCTCAGCACAGTGCATTCTAAACTCTCCACTGTTGGCCCCCTAGCATTCCAGATTATGAAATTCATTAACAACTTGGGGTTGGTGGGTGACTTCCTTTTCAGGCATTTGGCTTTCTCCTTCCCTGATGAGCCATCCTGATTCTCCTAGCCTGGAGGGTTAGAGTCTATTACATGACTAGGTTTAGATTCACAGCTGAGTCTCCTGAGTCTTGTCCTAAGGCTAGTCTTACCTTTACTCCGCACCTTACCAAGCTCCTTAGGCATAGTGCGATAAGCATTTTTTCCCCAGGCCCTCTGAACTCTATTTGTTCCTCAAATTGCAGGAGTATGGCTTTTGTTTTAGGCACTCCCAACTTTTCCACCAGGTCCTTTAGCTCTGTGTTGGTTGCCTCTAGATGCTCGCGGACAATTTATGAACCTGTCACCTGAGTTGTTTTTGGTGGTGGGATCACTGTCCATGTTGGTTGGAAGAGTGGGCTGGGGATCCCCTCCCTAGGGAGACTAGAGGGAAAAAGGGGAGGGTGTGGCTTATCTGCTCCATTAGTGAGCTAAGTTGGTTTGTTGATAGGGTCTGTTGACTCAAGGCCATCTGTGCTTGCA